GGGGGAGAGGGTCTAAGAAAAAGTTAAAAATTTGTTTGATTTTTTTTTAGATAAACGGGAAATTACCAAACGTTTTGAATGCGATATCAAACATTAGCAATCAACCATTGACGATTGGTAAAAAAAAAATTTCAAAAAGTCAAAGTGGGGGGCTAAAAAAAGGTCAAAAATTTGTTTACGATTTTGTCAAAAAACGGGAAACTACCAAACTTTTTTAATGCGATACCAAACATTACTAATCACCCAGCAATCCATTGATAAAAAGAAAATTCCCAAAAGTCAAAGTGGGGGGGCTAACTTTGGAAAGGTATTGTCGAGACCATAGACATAGTATATCTAGACCGAGTGTTGAGAAGTGGGGGCCAAGGTGCACGTAGAAAAGGACATACTCTGTTTCGTACTCTGTAGCGTACTCTTTCGCTATGCTACATGCGAGTGAGAGAGAACGCAAGGGGCACGAAACAGAGTATGTCCTTTTCTACGTGCATCTTTACCCCCACTCCTTAAATAAAGGCAAACGCTCGGTCTAGATATACTATGTCTATGGTCGAGACGTAATACTTGATTGTTCATGGCATGTCACGTGATATCAGAATGATGTTCTTCTTCTTCTTCTTCTTTCTTTTATGGCTGGTTGGGCATTAGTCGCCCATACACCATTGTTTCTTATGGGTTTGTAGAATATAAGCAAAACTCCTCTAAGAGAGGAGGGAGTCCAAAAAAAGGTCCAGACAAAGGACATACGCAGCACGCAAAAACACGTCCGAACCCGACACGTTGTCAGTCGGAACTTACAATTTATCTGTATATATTTTTTATTAAAATACATTATTTTTGATTATTATTTATTGCTATATATATGTATCAATGAGTTAGAGAGAGAACAAAAAACGAGAGTGAGCGAGAGAGAAGTTTAGATGGCGTTACCGACCTACTTACTTATTTCGCGCATGCGCACTCCGTTTTGGCCAACACTAACATCAAAGGTGCCGACAGGGAGTTGCGCTACTGTATATACTGTGGTAACGCCACGTGCAAGCCTCTCTCTTGTGAGTTACTTTGCTCAAAAGTGCGCATGCGCGGCCATGTGTGGTACACAAAAGTATGTATACTACAGACACGATGCTTGTATGTGTAGTTACTCACAAGAGAGAGGCAACTACGATTTCTTTCTCACTTCCTTCGACACTTTTCAGCCTGCTATTCCCCTTCCATTTATATATGTTCTAAGCTCCGTATCAGACTACGTATTGAAGATTGAAGAAATTTTAGTCCCTTTTGTCCTGATTAGTCAAATTTCAATCTTTAATTTTCAATTTTCAATTTTCAATGCGTAGTCTGATACGGGCTTAAGGAGAGTTATCTCAATAGTGTAGAAAGGAAAAAAGTTGGTCACGAAAAATGTTCCCTATGTGGCCAGGTTTGCCAAATGGAATAATTTGGACCATTTTGTCGCCATCTTGAATATTCGTATATGTATAGCAGAGAGAAGAATGAGAGTCGCCACGCTGCCGTTTTTCGTGTAACGCTTTTTCTAGGTCGTACACTAGCGTCACGTACATCCATTTTACGCCGCCTGGAACTACATGGCCACATCCACTTTCGGAGCCGATAAAACAGCCGATTGGTTCATGTCCGTGCTACATCCACTCACTTATGTCTATGCTTTTCAGCCTGCTATTCCCCTTCCATTTATATATGTTCTAAGGTTATGCTGCAATTCGTCCCTGAGCGGCCATCTTGAGCATCTACTTATATATATACTTTCGTCCGCTCGCTTAAGGGTCGACAGGAGTGACGGTGGAGACCTCTCGCGGGAAGCCTAGAACCAACGAATCAACGTCAAGTGTTGACAAGACGATAACTCAGCGCTTTCTCTGCTGAACGCGGCCAATTTGCTGTCAGGTTATGTCAGCAAGCTTTGTCACCAAAACACAAGCTTAATGCGGACACAGATGGCACTGGATTTGTTACCAAGTTTTGAGCGAATTTGATGCCAATTTGGCAACAATTTGTTATCAAATTACTTACTGGCTAGAAATTAGCTAATCAATGCGCTTAAGAAGTTTGTCGTACGACAAATGTAATATCGGCCTAATACCAAATGCTCCCTCCTGTTATTCTTTACTCAATGGCTTCTGGCATCAATAGCTTCGCGTCGAGAGGCTTTGCTTCGGGAAGATAAAAAAAATCCGTGGGATATACTCGTGGGAGGAGGAGGTGGAGAATGACGCGATTATAAGATAGAGATACTTCCTTTATAATCGGAGTACTCTCGAATATCATGCGAGCATCAATCACCATCACTTTGCAAGTTAATAGCCACGCACATTCTAATATTCGACGCTTGAATAATTACGTTTGATTGTGAGGAAAAAAAAAGAGACATAACGAGTTATAGGATGTCTCTGAGCGCCAGCGCGGAGAATCTCTCGTCCGAGGGACAAGTGAGTAAATCAACATCTCATCAACGTCGTTGATCCTCCCACGCGTGACTCACACCTCTGCCGAATTAATTTTTTTTTTCTGTTTCTGCACGCATTCACACCGGCTATGTATAACAAATTTGTATTCCGGAGTGGATATACGCTATTAAAATTTTTTTCATAAAAGATAATACTGTGTAATATGATATTTTACGATGTTTATCAGAATAACGAGAGATGGAACATGTGCCTAGAACTGGCACTGGAGGGCGAACGCTTATGCAAGGCTGGTGACTGCAAATCTGGTGTAGCATTCTTCCAGGCAGCGATTCAAGCTGGCACAGATGATTTGCGGATACTAAGCGCAATCTACAGCCAGCTAGGCAACGCGTACTTCTATCTGAGTGACTACGTTAAGGCAATGCAGTATCACAAGTTGGATCTGACACTTGCCAGGAACATGGGTGACAAACTGGGCGAAGCCAAGTCTAGCGGAAATTTGGGCAATACACTGAAAGTTATGGGCAAGTTTGACGAAGCCATGATATGCTGCAAAAGGCATCTGGAGATCTCTAGAGAGATTGGAGATAAGGTATTCTTCAAAATTATTTTTAAGTCAATCACTTTTTGCAAGAAATTGAAATTATTCGATTTTAATAGAAAAATAAAAAATTAGAGCATTTGTTACAAAAACTGAGATTGTATTTTCCATAAATTATTTATTTATTCTTATTATTTCATGTTATATTTCTCTATGATTTTGTAATGCGCAGCTTAGCGAGGGAAGAGCTCTATACAATTTGGGAAATGTATATCACGCTAAGGGCAAACAAGCAGGTCGAATAGGTAATCAGGACCCAGGAGAGTTTTCTGAAGATGTTCGGCAGTGCTTGCAACAGGCTGTACGCTATTATGAGTAAGATCTCAATTATTCTATAATTATTTTCCATTAATTTTGAATTATACATTAATCATGATGTTATTAACACTTTTCCCTCTTTTCATAGAGAAAATTTGGAGCTGGTGAGAGAACTGGAAGATTCTGCAGCGCAAGGCAGAGCGTGCGGCAATTTGGGCAATACGTTTTACTTGCTGGGCGATTTCCAACAGGCCATTTACTATCACAATGAACGTTTAAAAATTGCCAGAGAATTTGGCGACAAACCGGCCGAGAGGAGAGCCAACAGTAATCTGGGGAATTCACACATATTTCTGGGCGAATTCGAGAAAGCCGCGCAACATTATAAGTAAATATTACAACTTCATCGAATTAATTATGCATTTTGATATCTGAATACACAGAAAAATTGCTCAATTTTTAGGAGGACTTTAGCCCTCGCGCAAGAGTTGGGCGATCGCGAGGTAGAAGCGCAAGCATGTTATTCCCTAGGCAACACATATACCCTTCTACGCGACTACTCGGCGGCCATCGAATACCATCTGTGGCATCTGAGTATAGCTCAACAATTAAAAGATCGTATTGGCGAAGGACGCGCCTGCTGGTCACTAGGCAACGCCTATGCTGCAATGGGCAATCACGAAAAAGCGCTGCACTATGCGAATCTGCATCTACATATCTCGAAGGAGTTGGAAGATGAAATGGGTCAAGCTACCGCGCAGATGAACATTGACGATTTACACAAAATTCTTGGCCTGGAAAAGAGTCAGCAAGAGAGCAACAAGGAGAATCTGAACATGCAAAAACTATCTGCAAATACAATATCAAACATCCCGACAACTACACCATGCAGGTACAGGCTCAGACGACAAAGCATGGACAATCTCGATCTCATAAAGGTTTGCATAATTTTTCTTTAGTTTAAGAATCGTGCTATAGTAAGATTACAATGAAACAAGTCGGTTTATAATTATAACAATTCATTTTCATTCAATATTTTCTTCTTTCATTATATAATTAATTTAACTATATATTTATATCAAGAGGTATTGTATAAAGCATTACTGATTAAGAATTATATAAAAATTAAAATTAATTTTACTTGAAATATATAATTTTACTTACTAAATAGTAAAACATTAATAATTTGGTGTGTTTCATTAGCTCACACCTGATACAAAGCAAAAAGATAAATCAGAAATCGTATCGGACAAAGGCAACAACGTCGCATCGCAACCATCTCAGGAAGAAGATAACTTCTTCGATTTGCTCTCCCGGTTTCAGTCAGGTAGAATGGATGATCAACGTTGCGCGCTCAACACGAAGCACAATTCGAAGTACCGAACGATTACGTCAGAAGTATCCGATATGGAGGATAAGTACGTGAAAATATTTTATCTTAGATAGCGTGCTATTAAGACATATTCGGGGCACTTATTGCTTTACATTTTGATAACTAATGAATATCTTATTTGCAGAGATAGCGAGGATTTGCTAGAATTAATCGCTGGAATGCAAAGCAAACGAATGGACGAGCAACGAGTGACGTTACCTTACCTGCCTGGATTGAACACCAATCAGGATGCGGACGATTCCTTCATCGAGATGCTTGTCAGATGCCAGGTTGACGATTTAAACTAACACATAGAAATTTTTATTGCTTTATTGCAATGTTTCATTGCACACTGTCAGGAATCATATTTCATATTTATATCTTTTTTTTTTCTTATGCATATGATGCGCATATTGAAACATATGTAATATTAGCGACATATCTTATTGAGAAAAACATTTTGTACCAAGAATCATAAATTTGCTTTCAGAGTTCACGTTTAGAGGACCAACGGAGTCCTCTACCAGCTGCGTCAACGTTGCAAGATGCCGAGGAGGAGAGAGGTCGAAGAACCAACGGAAACGCTCAGTCGGGCTCCACTGTGCCCGAGGAAGATCTATTCGCCCTAATTCAAAGACTTCAAGCCGGACGGATGGAGGATCAAAGAGCATCCGGACCTGGCAAAGCATGCTAAATCCGCTAAAGCAAACGGTGACTTAAATCTTCACGATACGTTCCATTTGTGCTGAATTCTTTCGCCTTATTTACCTATCTATCCTCGATTATTGATTTCTCTCCTGTTCGTTTACTCATCGCCGCGCAGTTCTATTATCTTGATTACTTAATAGAAAAAGATACTATGTGAATAGCTTGGTTCTGATTCAAAAAAACGATTCAAAATGTTTCGTTGTGAAAACCAAACAACGCTAATCCAAAGTGCGAAAACATTCTTTTAAGTGTTAGAGAGGAAGTTAAAAGAATTAAATAGAAAATATTTCATAGTTTTAAACGTACATTCAAGCAGCTGTACTGATAGTTGGACAAGAGTACCTTTGATATTTGTCACACTCAAAACTACTTTCTTTAAGATTCTATACTTTTTTTTCCTCATCCAAGATTTCTTTTTTTTTCTTCTTTTTTCTTTTAGACTCAAGTTTGAGAAATATCGAAATAACGGATTCGTCCGATTTTTGCACTCAGGTCTTTGATTCCGTTCAGATAGACTTAACTGTGTATTCGTGTAGACTGTCACGTCTGCAACAGTAAGTAATTGATAAGTAAATGATAATCAATATTCTATAGCTTAGCGACTGTGCTAAAAGTATCAGTTGTGTGAAAGCATTATAGGACAATGCAATAATGAACAACTTTTTAATTTTGACCGTCTAGTGATAACTGCCGTTAGTATCTGGCTATTTGGTCGATTGAGTAAACTAAATGAAATGAGAGCTATGTTCGATATATAAGTTATTTGTCAACGTAAAAAGGAAATCGTGAAAATGTTACATGTAATGCATTTGCAGATCTCTATGACCTCGACAATTTATGTGACACACCAGTATAACTAGCACCGGTTTTAGTATTATCAAGAATTTTATAATACCTGTTTTACACAGAGCTATATGTATAATTGCGCGCGCAAAACAGGTTTCTCAAACACTGCCAGTTTGAGGGTGCGAATTATTTTCGGACATTCGTTCATGATAAACGCGGAGGGCCTTTTAATGTTCGCACATCCTCAAGAGAAAGATCATAGGTTTATTATTTTATATATATATATATGTTTTTTTGTGCATATTTTTCAATTTACTTCAATATATAAGGGACGAGAGAGCAAGATTATTATTTTTTTTTAATATATTGTGCTTAAATGTTACACAGTGGATGAGAAAGATGTTCGTATATCGCCAAGTTTCACTATCTTAGATAGCTCTCTTAGTTGCTAAACAATTATGAATGAATAACACCAAAACAAATCGAGCGAGAAAGAGTTAAAAAATAGATGAATTCACGAGTTTTTGGTTATAGTCAAAGCCATGTTACTTCAAGCCATGTTATCTTCAATTTCCAAAGCTTTTTAAAATCTACTTTCACGTAAGATTCTTTTTCATTCACAAAAGTTTTGTATCTTTTTCATCTTTATTATTATTAGTGTATAGTCAATGAGAAAAAGTATTATCAATTGCATCGATTCTATGAACACAAATACATCTTACTACTTGATTCACTCTCGCATATAAGATACCTAACTACTCTCTCTCTGCTGGATAAAATATTTTTTAAAAGATTTAGATAGAGAGAGAGGGGAAATTACGAATCTTTATACATGAAAAAGAAGGATAATAATGTGTGAATATTATTTTTGCTTATACATTTAATAGGACAAAAACTCCTAATGAATATCAGTGCCAAAGATTTTCAATGTGCTAAAAAATTAATCTGTTGAAAGAGGGGGAAAAAAAAAGTTTATTATAAATGAATCTCTATATTTATTATACAAATAACATTATTCCTGTGAAAAATTGGTTATTGTAACAAAGTAATTATTATTGGCGAAGATCTATATCTATTTACAATTGACCAAGTATTAAGCTTAATTCATCCTATTTATCTTTCGCAAAATTATTGAGGTAGCTTTCTCCAAAGTATATCTTTCCATTTTAATTAAAATTATGGAACATTGAAAAAAATTTCTTTTATTTGTTGTAACACTATATCTATTATTATCTAAACAGACTCACATTTATGGATCTAAATTATTAACAAATGTGGAGAACACATATAGCTTTGGCGTGTCATCTGTTCTAACGATCAAATGTGTATATAATTGTGAATGAGCAATTCCATGCTGATTAAAATGTCGATTTATTGTTAGCGACGAACCGAATGGCAACGATGTTATTTACGCGCGCGCCAAAAGAGAAAAGAAATATTGATAATAATATAAGTTGATAATTGGTTCAACAAAAGTGCAAGAATAGTGATATACTAATTACCGAATCGATCGATACTGAGCATTTTTTGCTATATATACGACGAACCGCGATGTTATTTACGCGCGCGCCAAAAGAGAAAAGAAATATTGATAATAATATAAGTTGATAATTGGTTCAACAAAAGTGCAAAAGTGCAAATATACTAATTACCGAATCGATCGATACTGAGCATTTTTTGCTATATATATATATATATATATATATATATATAGCGCCCATATGTGCGCTTTCACGATCGACCATGCAAGCTCGGCTATCAGCGCCGCTTCGTTCCAGACATTGCCCTTGATGCACCAAGTACATAGTTGATCATTTATGTACATATATTAGAGATATATCTCTTAATGTATAAATTAGCATGAATAGATGTATTACAAGCGGATGTCTTAATTTCGTTTAGAATAGATATTGCGCGAAACGGATTTTTAGCTAGAAAGAGGAAAGAACATCATAAAATTGGCATCATAATATGTTCACCCTGCATACTTTATATATTTTTCAGTTATTTGCGACGAAGAGAAGGTGCACTTTTTTGTTTATTATATGAATTCTAATAAAAATCAATTTTCTTAAATTTATTTTGGTACAATGCTGTCAATATCTGCCTTTCAAAATATGATACCCGATCAAATTTTATAAAATTTAAAATATTAGAAAATTTTTTACTACATATATCATTTGAAACGGTATTTATAGTCAACGATTAATTTACAAATAGAAATAATTTGATTATTTTCAATGTTTGATTAAAAACATACTTACAATTAATTACAAATTTTTGTATGTATTTATATAATACATATAGATACTTATTAAGAGCTTTTTGAATTTGTACTTCATGAAATTATGTTACATAAATACAATAAATGTTTAAGACATCTATCATTGTGTTAGATGTATAGATTAGATATATCAAGAACGTTATTAATTAATGGTTGACGACACATAACTACAAAAATTATATTAAAAAATGAATCAAATTAGCAGAAATTTTAAACACTCAAAAGTATTAAATATAATCGCGTTAATCTCTAGTTGGTCGACATTTCTCGTATTAAAAATTATTTGAGGAAGAATCAATTTGGCAAGTATAACTCCAACCCAACATAAACAATCGCAGGTTTGTGAAACTGTAACCACTTGTCAAATAGTGATCGAGCACGAATGCCGCACCGAACATAAGGCAGTCTATGTACAAAATCATAGGAATATTGTTTAACTTATATTATCAACGTTAACTAATGCAAGAGGCAAAATCACGCAGAAGTCGTTCTGTCAGTTACACCTGTTGCAACGCTATTTGCGTGCTCGCATATACAATCGCAAAACTGCAATCTACCCGTGCATTCGTAGGATTGGTAACGTTTAACGCCATGCCTATAGGGCATCCCTCGTGCGAATAACATGGTAGGTGCACACTACTTTATTTACGATCGCGCTTTATTGAGTGTCCCATGACATCAGAATGACTATCGCTTCTACGATGAAATTTCATCTCTTTCCTGCTTGTCTTATCCTATATATTGTTATAAAATAATAATTAAAAAGAAATTGTGTATATACATGGAATAACTTTGATTTTATCGATTAGAAAAGGGGCTAAAAATATTGCTGAGACTATTAAATGACAAATAAATCACGCTGATGTAGGACTTTCGTAGAATTTTTACCAATTATTTTTTAGAATATTTCTTAGAATATTTTAGACTATATAATTAATTTTATCTTATTTTTTTATAACGAATATTTGTTACAATAGGCATAAGAATATAGGTTCTTCTAATCGAGTTTTTGATTTACAATTACTGGAGGTATAACTATACATTCCATTCTGTCCATATAATAATGTTATAATATATAAAGAATCAATAAATATTTACTTTTTCCAAAAAATAGATATTAATATTATTATTTAATTTATATTAATATTTACTCCATATATATGATATATACAGGGTGTCCGGTAAAGATTGTGCCAACGCTCGTGAGCGGCTAGAGCACAGTAAACTGAACAGAAAAGTCCTGTAACATTTTTTTATATAACGCTTAATAAAGGAGTTATTATTGAGTAAAATCTGGTCAATTAGCGCCGATTTTTAGCCGGACGCACGTTGGTGAGCCGCCCGCCTGATAGTATGCGGCGGCGCACACTTCACAGCGCGGGCTCACTGACGTGCGCCCGGCTAAAGGTTGGCGCTGATTGGCCAGACTTTACTCAATAATAATTCCTTTATTACGCGTTATATAAAAAAATGTTACAGGACTTCTCTGTTCAGATTACTGTGCTCTACCCGCTCACGAGCGTTGGCACAATCTTTACCGAACACCCTGTATATATATGTCGTCTGAATATGCCGCTTTATATATCATTCTTTTTACGATATCTTCCCATCCAATATGTCAGAAAAATCTAGAAATTATTATCAATCTGATATCGCAAATGCATCGTGGCCGGAATGGAAGGATTCCGATCTGAACAACGAAAAGTGGGGAGCCCCCAAAGATAGTCCCGATGGATTATTCCTGGATACAGAATATGTCACAATGCCACCATCCTTGAAACCTGACCGATGGATAAGAGCGAAGGATTTACAGCGTTTGACTGTACTTTTACTTACGCATTTTAGATATAATACGCATTTCTTAAATTAATACACACATTATGATTTTTAAACTTTAAAATGTAACGAGTTTATGTTTGATTGTAATAATGTTAATTACTCTTATACAAATGTGGAATACTCTTCAGAGTTCGTTGACGATATACACGACGACCGTGGAATATCCTGATCTAATTATGAACAACAAGTATTTACTGCATAGCGAGGTATTTCTCTAATTCTAAGTCGGCTTACAAATCGCTACAAAATAGTAATAATATAATGGTAATTTCTATAATAGTTTATAAGATGGTTCATATCTACGCTCAAGAATTTGCAATATTGTGGCCGGGAAGGGTTGGAGATTAGCGGGCAAGGCTCAAATTTCACATGGGCCGATGGCCACAGGCCCTGGTGCGGTTGGATGCACGTATATTCCTTGAACAAGGCTGGAAAGGGCGTTCAGCATCGACCAGTGATAAATCCGAATGGTGGTTACGATATTCTCGCAACGATCGTAGAAATTTTTAAATCTTTTAAACATAGTTGCTCTTCTCTTTTTCCTTTTTCATACCGTATCGGGAGAAATTTTTTTTACAATAGATTGAATTATCTAAACAATAATTCCCTGTCTTAATCAACGTATCACAGGCAATCTTTTTTAGGAAAGTATATTGTAAGATTACATCATATGGGATGCTGGCGTCGTATTCTGGTAGACGATAACATACCTGTGGATAAAAACGGTAGACCCCTTTTACCGTGCACCTCCAACGACTTCGAGCTGTGGCCAATGCTTCTCGCTAAAGCATTGCTCAAGGTTGCTTCGCTGACCTGGACGGAACATCGCGAGATCATCGACTTCCATCCAATTACTTGTTTAACAGGTCAATATTCATCTGTCGCTTCATTCATTCGTTGACGCCATTAAAAAAAGAGGATGTTGAAATCACACATTCACAATCTTTGAGCAAAGTGTATATCTTTAAATTCTTATTAATTTCTAATATGAGAAATTTGTTCTAAAATTTGCTACCCGTCATCGGCGGTTTCGAAAGATTCTAAATAAATAAGTGCCTTAATAATGGCACAGGCTGGATTTGCTTGACGCTAGACGTCACACATTTATCGTCGCAAGACAAGTGGGACTTTCTAATGAAATATTCTGAGCATTTCGAATGGACGTCGCAAACTACTCGTGATAACACGAGTCCAGGTGTGTCAAACGTATATGCTCATGATCGCCGCTTTGATTACTATATATAGCGTTCTATTTATCTATACTTCCGAATAGAAAGCTCCACGAATAGCGTTATGACCGACAAGACGAGGAGACCTGGAGAAATTTTGCGGCTAGTCCCTGAAGCCGAGAAACCTCAACCGATCACGTTATTTCTTCTCTTGGCCGATACCCGAGAACTCGGAAACAAAGCGATATCTGGTTTATCACCTTGCTGGGATCACGTAATTTACGTCGTCCAATCACGCGACGTTTCTCTGGATCCCAAACACGTAAAAGTTCAACTATCTCAAAAGTGTCAAAAATCACACACATACAATAAAAGAATCAAAATAATAATTTTTTTGTAAAAAAGATCTATTAAAAGAATATTAAGAGTATCAAGACATTTTTTATTGTTTTATCAGATGTTTTTATTTGGATTATGATTGGCTTTGAAACTTAAATTGCTTCTTGAGGTAAAACCGCCATTAGCAAAGTGGAAACTGCATCGCTGGCTAAAATGGGCCATTTCGCAAAATGTAATCGATCCCACCGATTATTTCGTTCCGATTCGTTACTTGAGGGTGATCAGTCCTTTCGAGGAATGCGACGAGAGTGTTGTCTACATTTACGACGAAAGTGACGCCGCAGGAAACTCGAGCTTTCCAAACGAGATCGAGCAGTCTGATAAATCTGCGTGGAGAACGAGGTCTCAGAGAGCACCAGATTCGCCCATGACGGAAAAAGAGGCAACGGAAGATGTCAGTCGATGGATTGACTTTAATATGATGGCACCACACATAACGGAAGTATATTTGTTTTATAAGCTGGAGTATTTGCGGTGCACGATTCAAGTGATGGGGGATATATTGAAGACAACCCATGGGACTCGCAAAGCTACGAACAAAGTCGAGAAGGAAAAAACAGGTAGGTCAGTTATCAGATATTCATTGTGAATTTCATGTTGATGTCAAAATATAAGTATAATAAATTGAGTAACTTTACCCAGGCAGCACCTGTCCCTAGAGGCAGTCTCTAAAAACGTCTTAAAGACATATCTAATTGTCCTTTAGATATCTTTAAGATGTCTTTGATTTTTTGTGCTGCTTAGGTAGCTTCTCAGAGCTACACTATTATATTTTTTCTCTCTAGAATTTAGATTTTTAATAAATTAAGATTTTTTTTCTATGGATATAGTAAGATGAGATGCATAATTTTTTCTCTCTAAAGATTTGTAGAGAAAGATTTTTTCTCTCTAGAGTTTAGATTTTTAATAAATTAGATTTTTTCTATGAATATAGCAAGATGAGATGCATACTTCTTTCTAAACATTTGCAGAAATTTATAGTACAAGCAGAACTTTAAAGTCTAGAAACAAATCTTTGTATTTATTCTGCGACTCTCTGGAGAATAAATTCTTCTTGGTTAATTTTTGCGCTGCGCCGAGAAAGAAAAAAGAGTCACATCTGAAGGATTATCTTATCTTGGAAAAATACAATTGGTTTTTTGGATCAAATCAATCGGATCAGACAATAATTATTTCCACGTTCGGCAATAAGTCAACTGTCATAGAATTGAAAGCTGGTAGGCAACTCTTACGGATTTATCGCCGTTCAGAATCCAGTCTGGCGATCATTTCTTCTGATACGGATTTTTATCTCGGAAATCGGGCGACTGTGCAACAACTGATGACCACAGAGTCTGATAGAATCGAATGGATGTCGAAAATAATCAGTAATAGTCTCTCTGAAACTTATCGATCATTCGGAACAAATAATTATCCAGTAATGTTAAAAAATTACTATCGAAGCTACATGCCCGGCTCACAGCATATTCTTTTGAAAGAAGATGAAAATCTTACTTTACTGATACACCAATCCTTTATAGAAGAACAAATTCGATTGATCAGAAAAATCGTTCCCGATAGCGATCTCGAAAATATCCTTCGCGCTTTGCGGATTTTTTTTCTGAATCCAAATATTAGACTGGAATACTATGATTCGAAAACTCAGAGAACACTTCAAGATCTCATAACACAAGAGGCCATGAAAATACCACGCAGCCATGTATCTGATTATAATAAAGCAGCCACGATAATTCAGTTCTTCTTCAGGATGGCTCTTGTAAAAAGATACAAACAACTTCACAATCCCGATCACGCTCTGCATATGCAGATTCGCAAGGAACTTTTGAAGATATCTGATTTATTCGATTTGTCTATCGCAAGTCAGTTATTAAGGAACTTCATCAATCGTCAGGACAGTCTGCGCGATTTCTATCCTTATTCCGAGGATTTCGCGCACGTCCTGAATATCCAAGAATTCAAAGGTGTCCTCGAAAGCGTCGGACACGAACAATGGTTTCCGATTGTCAGATTTATCGTGAATACCAAGCCCGCGGAGACTGTCTTCGCGGCCTTCGAACTGCTGATCGATCTACCTCGCGTCGCATTGCGTGTCTTCAACAATCAAAACGGACACGAAGTAACGCGCATCGTGAATCAGGTGGCTCCAGCTCGCTATGAATATCTGTCGGACGGTTACACTGTATTTGCTTATGGTTGGAACGAAAAGCAACGTATCAAGGACCTGGATTGGGCGATTCGCATAATCACCATGAAGGGGGAACCAATGCTCTATCAACCAGGCGAGCAACAGATCAAACCTCCCAAGCTCACGGTCGATGAATTAGTCGGTACTTACGTTCCGAACATCAAGAATTGCATCTCGCGATGGATCCTGCGAGCGACTTCGGGAAGCATCATCTCGATAAGATTGATAACATCCTACAACTTGGCGAAAATCAGAATGAAAGTTACCGATGAAGAAAAGAACATTTTGGCTGATGTGAGAGGTGCTTCCAAGATTTTCTTACCTTTAATAAACTTAAAACACTCAACCAAGAACGAAGATTATAAAATCAAAAAAGGAAACCAAGACTTTAATGAGGAGTTTAGAAATGCAATGGAAGAGAAGAAACTCTATTATGTAGATGCTTTCGTTTTTGACAACAGTTGGCCTCTTACAGATGTCGAATGGGCGGTCGTGAATCAAGCGAAGACGAAGAATGCAGAAGACTTCAAAACGAAGATGCAATTTGGGATTAAAGTATCATCAAATCTGTCAAGGTCAAATCTATCGACGGCAAGAAAAGATTCGAAACAATTAAACAATAATCAAGCCCTAGAACCACCATATTGGATTCTTCAAGTTGTTACAGATGCTCGGGATGCTGTAGAGGTATGTACAGTTCGTCCGTTGTGATTTAATAAAAAAAAAATCTGTTATTTAAAAGTTAATTACTAAATTAATTACTAAAGAATTAATGTGTTTTTAAACTTTTTATTTTTGTTTTAAACTTTTATTCCTGATAAATATATTCGCGTTAGATCTGTCAAGATAAGAAAAGGGAGCAAGAAATAACACTACTAAAAGAATCCTGGTGGTCGAAGGATCCAGGTCGATTCAAACGTGGAAAGGAACTCCGAGAAACTTTTCTGAGTGCGCACGCCTTAAAATCTGAACCGGAAGTGTCTTTAAACCAGATAGTAGAACAATCGAAAGAAATAGAGGACGAAGATATAGCATTCTGTCTGCCACATGCGAGGCAACGTAGGACTTTGATACCATCGGAATTTCATCATCATCTGCCCGCTTTAAACCTGACGAAGTACGTGAGCAGAAACGAGATTGTAAGACATCTTGATTCAAAGATGAAGAACAATGACGAAAAATTGCTAAACCGATACGTCGTCGACGTCGAAGTCCATAATCAAAGAAATTATTCTAATTACCTGGAAAACTTGACCGAGCTGATAAACAAGCAACTGCAGAGATACGCGAAGTTGTTTAAGAAGAAGGAGAAGAATTTCTGGCAGAGAAAAACTCTGGTAGATGTCGTTTACGAATCGAGGAAGGTCTACATTGACAGTTTGACATCCGAAAAAGCGAAGACCAAAGAGAAAGCGAAGAAAAATTGAAAAACTTTATTTTGCCGAGCAGTAGAAATGTAACAATAATTTATTTATCACGTTTGCGGATATTTTAACTCAATAATTAATCACTACGTTTAAAAATAAAGAGCTCCTGCATGATAAGAAGATAGATTGAACATAGTTGGAAAATTTGGCTTAAATTTAACTTAAAAATTTTGGTGTTAATTTAACATAATATGTATATGTTAAATAGTGATACTAATACTATAATATTTCAACACAAAATAAATGCAAACTTCATAGTAATTTGAAATAAATTTTATGTAAAATCAATATATTTTTAACGATAAAATTAAAAAAGTTATTGACGGTCTGTAGTCACTCTCACTCCTATTATAGAATAAAATTAACATTTTTTTCTGTACATTTTGACAGATAAATCTTGTCACTAATAATACAGAACATATCTATTGTGTAAAATTAAAAATATGTTCACATTGTATCAGTTTTACACTTTTTTTAAAGTTGTTTTAATAATTTAACATTTGAGTCTAATTAACACAACAGCAATATGTTAAATTAACACATGAATGTATTAAATATTTAACACAAAAATTTTAACCGGCATATTTTTTTAACAAGAAAGCATAAATTTTCAAACTGTGAAGTATTAATCGTAATAAGCGTGTAAACGTGCAGCTTTACGATGCTGTTTCATAGTATCGTTATCGATGCTGCCTGTTCACTCGCTAAGAGGCGCGCTCGCTTCTCGCTTCTTGATGACTGTCCACGATCTACCTTTTAATGATGCTCCTCTAGCCGTCCAAGAAAGAAGTAACGGCGATCCGTTCCGCCTATTTTTCATCTGGGACCAGTCCACGCGGTCTAGCAGGATTATTATGAAACTGCGAGAAGAGACATCCACATACGAGAGAGGCTGCTTCGAAACGTACAGCGGACGCAAGAAATGAATATCGCAACACATCTCGCTAAAACTTCAACAAACCGTTTGCTTCAACGATGACAAAATCATTGTCATAATCGAAATTTCAAACACACATTCAATTTTAGAGATCCCAACTTGATTTACTACAATCTTAATTTCAGTTTCCGTTTTAATGTTAAGTCTACTTTTCTTAAATTTTTTTGACAGAGTCTTGTCTTTCGAGTCTAAGAATCTTTTTTTTTTAAGTTCATTGCTTTTGAAACGGGAACCCAGAAGTCGTCCTATCGTACGCATTATACGCTGATTGAAGGTGCAGCTGCTGGCTCGAGATCGGCGGCAGTCCAGCTAGTAATCAATGTCGATCATGTGTTTGTGTTGAACGATCCCTCGTCTGTCGCGCTGCGAATTACAATCAAGGCATATCGCTGCGTCTTATGCGAATCGCGCGTGAGCATCTAGGTATTTAATTTCAGCGAATGTGTGGGCTTTTAAGCCAATATTACATTTTGCCATTGTTTCGAATATCAATTATATTTTAGATTAATCGGGTTTTTTCCTAAAAAATAATTTATAATATAATAATATAAATGATATAATGACTGAGATATTACTGTGGTATAAAGTATAATTTTTTTTAGTAACGAATATGGAAATATTATCTTGTTATTAATCAAGAATCTAATTATTATTAATAAAGTATCTTTGGAAACTTTATATCATGAAATTCTTAATTTACTACGCGGATCGCGTAGGGTATTGCGCGTTTGCATTCATAAGATCTTCACGAAGCAATCTTTTGTTGAAATAGTATCTATTCCGACATCTGACATGATGTCGAACCCCCGGAGTGAGTTCTCTACTTTGCATACGAAAGAAAGCGTTTGATTCCCCGGATAAGCCAAGAGAAGCGAGTAGCGGCGTGCTTGACACGCCTCGTTTGCCGCCTGGAATTCGCATAAGAAAAATCGAATTATAAAGCTCAATGAACTTGACAATGAAAATGTATAGCATTTAGGATTTTACGATAAAGATGCAAAATTTTTAATATTTATGATAACATACACACGCACACACATACATTGTTGGAAAATTTATGTTTTTTTGTTAGTAAGTATGCCGGTGGTTTTTGTGTTTTAACACATGCATGTGTTAATTTAACATATTGCTGTTGTGTTAATTGAACTCAAATATTAAATTATTAAAACAACTGAAAAAAGTGTCAAAATAATACAATGTACATATTTTTAATTTTACACAATAGATATATTCCGTATTATTAGTGACAGAATTTATCTATTAAAATATATAGAAAAAGATGTTGATTTTATTCTATAATAGGGGTGAGAGTGACTACAAACTATCAATAACATTTTTCCAAATTAATTTTATTATTAAAAATACGTTGATTTTACACAAAATTTATTTCAAATTATTATGAAGTTTGCATTTTGGATTGAAATATTATTATAGTATTAGGGAGAGAATCATAGTATTAGTGTGCCACCATTTAACATATCCAGATTATGTTAAATTAATAACAATGTTAATTAATTACGAAAATTTGTGTGGACTATTTGGGACATACAATATATATTAAATTTAAGCCAAATTTTCCAAATATTAGTGTACAAATATTATCTCCGTTTAACAAAAATATGGAATTATAAGAATCCAATTGTCGCGTATAATATATTGACGTATGGATATCGAGCGAATGCTGATCGAAAATAATAACCGAAATCACGTGGGTGCGACACGCAAGAGGAAGTTTCACCGCTGACAAATACTTCGTAGATGCAGAGCATCGGTGGTGAGCGATTTTACCGTATTATCGGCCATCTCTTTCGACTCGCGCGAGTCGGACTCGGCATACCGACTAGTGCTCGAATATATTTTATATGCGTTCCCATTAGTCGTGTGCATATATCTCGATTCTCTCTCTTTTCTTTCCTGCTATGTAACATACATGCACACTATTGCCTTGCTGCATTTCCACCCTCATAATCGTTACAGCCTATCCAAGGATCCTGAAGAACTGCATTAAATTTGGTTATCGACAATTACGTATAATACCGACAAAAAGAAACGACTCAAAACCCATAATCTTCGATCGTAAAAATTCAAATCTTACATTAAAAAATAGATCATGTATTATATATTAAAATAAATTATATATATATAATTAAAATAATGAAAAAATAATTAAATAATAATTAATAAATAATAAATAATGAACAATTTTTTAGTTAAAGTAATCTCTAAAATTTAGTGATATTTTTTTAAGATTAGAATTTCTAAATTATATTCCCCGTTAAAGATTGTATTTTGTTTCCATAATTTCTAAATTATATTCCCCGTTAAAGATTGTATTTTATTTCTATGATTTATAATCAATTATTAATGATAAAATATCTACATGTGTATATGTAAATAATAGATTATTAATGCGTTACGTGTCCCATATAAACAATCTCCGGAAGCGTCGGCTTATTTCTAAATTTGGTATAGAACCGAAAGGCCAATGTCATCCGGATTTCTCAATCGAAGCTGTGACCTCATTTGATAACGTCTGAATATCAAGCGCCACATTGTGAGAGAACATCCCAGCATTATAGTTCCGGAACTTGGGAAAATTGTAAAAATTTATCTAATATTAATTAGCAGAATTTATAAAAATGTGTTAGCGTGCAGTATAGTGTATAGTCGTAGCTTTGCAAATCGAGAGACCGCTTTATTACATAATTATCACAACTCTTGGACGAATAATCGTGGGCGCTCGGGAAATGGATTATATAAGATACAATGGTTCTGTATAAGATGTAATAACATTTTCACTAACCCGAGAAATATAATTATCAAAAAACATCAAAAATATATCGGCTACTTAAATAAATAAAATGAATTACGAGTAATTAATTTGTTTAAGATTTATCATTATATTCTTTTTTCTGCGAAAGGGTTAAACTTCAAAATTAATCGGCTAATTATAAATTTGGAGTTATTTTAATTTTTATATCCATCAGGAAAAGCTTTTTATTTTCTTTACAATTTTTCTCTCCAAAGGTTTGAACGTTTCGACATGGAAATACATTAAAATCAGTTTCAGGCAGAAGCAGCGAAATTTTTTTTAAAGTAGGATTTATTTCTTCGACTTGTGCTGATTCTAAATGAATCTCAACTCGTCGAGAGCTGATCGTCGAAACAAATTAGTGCCGATTAATAAACTGACACGAGCAAAAGAAGCTTACTCTCCCGACTTCCGCCAATTTCACGCAAATCGCATTCTCGACTGATGATCGATCGAGCATGGGAGTGCATCCTTTCGGAACGTGTTGTACACGCGTGCGTGTACGTGTCTTCACACACGCATGGTGTTAACAGCCAAGTAGAAGGGGTGGGCCCGTCGTCATCGTCATCGTCTTAAACCAAAGAGGGGGAGAACGAGATCGACATCGACGATGTGTGGACCAGAGGAAGAGAAGAGAAGCCGATGCAGAGACAGAGAGCAGGAGATAAGGATGGTTGAAGATGCTGAGGAAAGAGAGAGAGAGAGAGAGAGAGAGAGAGCCTTCCCAGATGAGCCCTCTCCTCGACTCTATAATCTGTAGCTCCAGTCTCGCGTCGAGTCTCGTCGAGGCGCATCATCCGTCTCCTGGGGGACCGATCGATTTCGAGCGGGCCCAAAAAGATCGATCTCGGCCCACCGGAAACCGGAAGGTGTTCGCGGGAATCCTTTCATGTTACTTTCCCGTTGGTGACGTGGGATTTTCACGAGTACTCAAAACCTGTACGTTTGGTGGTTGCTGTTTTCTGGATATTCAATTCACGCATTTCTACAGAATAAAATCACGACGCTTTGTGAAGAGAGATGTTATTTAGAAATATTCATATTTTTTTTAAAGGCTTTATTATAATTGTAAGTCCATTCTTCTCATAATTTCGCGAAGGTATTTATCGACGAATTCAAAAGTTGTAATTAAACATTAGCCATTAAGCATGTGTGTGACATAAATCTCTACATGTACGTACTTCATTAATGTCAACCTTTTTAAGGTAATTCTTGCTTCTCACATTATTTTGCTTGAAAACTTCGAAATTTAATTTATTTCGAAATACTTTTAAAACACGAACAGACTCGGGCTTTAAAGAAGAGTTTGAAATTTCAAACAAACTCTTTTTCGTACGATTAAATGTAAAAAGAGATGCGAAAGATTTAATACCACATCATCGATCATTACATCATTGATCATTCGTGACGCGAATCAAGAATTTTTAGATCAACTTGTAGATCTGGATTGGAAGCTCGATACAAAAAGTGCTGACCTAAGCGAGTAATTTTTTGAAGACGATTTTTTTATCGCGTTTTATTTACGCGTGATCATTAAAGATCATCACGTTGCACACGAGATTAATCGCGTGATTAATCATGCGCAATCGTCATCAAACTCACGCGTATGTCGCAAATTTGTTAATGTGTATATATTCGCGAACGACTAGAATTAGACCGCTGATATATTTCTTGAATCTTTACGATAAGAATTTTATTTTCTTGAAAGCAAAAGATCTCTGTCTCTTGTCCAATAGGCAAAAATGTTCCTTTTTTTGTCAACAAAAATGAGCTTTTTTGTTTGTGTGAAACGATACTAGGTTTCTGTGAAAATTTTCTTTTTGCTCAGTCAAATAAAATGTGTATTTCTTCAAGAAAAGAAATATGTAATTTCTTTGTTTTCTCTTTTAGAAAAAAGAGTATGTTTGAAAAAACGATATTTTTGAGTCTTCACAAAGAGACTTCCATTTTTTTGACAGTAAAGATATTTTTGTCTCTTTTCTAATAGATAAAAATATTTCTTTTTTTCCTAAAAAAATGAGTTTTCTTGTTTCTGTGAATTTTTTTTTCGCTGAATCAAACATTTGTATTTCTTCAAAAAAAGAAATATTTTATTTCTTCGCTTTCTCTCTCTTAGAAAAAGAAATCAATAAGACAAGAAACAAATTTTCGATTAGTAACAAAAATATTTTTTATTCATAGTCAAACGAAATTTGTTAAAGATAAGGAAATGTTCGTTTCTCTTCGCAATGAAAAGCTCTTAATAGACTCGATAACGTCGTAGTGTAAAGTTTACGAGCTCATTCGTTACGGTGGTGTATCTCAAAGCTGAAATGTTACGGTGTCGAAAGGTATCGCGATTCGTCCCGCTCGTAATAGAACGTGCGCGAACACAAGGCCTCTTTTTCTGCAGAAGTCATACAAGTTTCTGGAACTTGGTGGACTTCCCTAGACCCGCCTTTTTTGTCCAGATAACGAGCGAAACACTTGCAATAAAATATTTGCCACGGTTAAAGCTTCTTTTTATCTCCGAAAAAAAGATTTCAGAGAGAGAGAGAGAGAGAGAGAGAGAGCCTTCCCAGATGAGCCCTCTCCTCGACTCTATAATCTGTAGCTCCAGTCTCGCGTCGAGTCTCGTCGAGGCGCATCATCCGTCTCCTGGGGGACCGATCGATTTCGAGCGGGCCCAAAAAGATCGATCTCGGCCCACCGGAAACCGGAAGGTGTTCGCGGGAATCCTTTCATGTTACTTTCCCGTTGGTGACGTGGGATTTTCACGAGTACTCAAAACCTGTACGTTTGGTGGTTGCTGTTTTCTGGATATTCAATTCACGCATTTCTACAGAATAAAATCACGACGCTTTGTGAAGAGAGATGTTATTTAGAAATATTCATATTTTTTTTAAAGGCTTTATTATAATTGTAAGTCCATTCTTCTCATAATTTCGCGAAGGTATTTATCGACGAATTCAAAAGTTGTAATTAAACATTAGCCATTAAGCATGTGTGTGACATAAATCTCTACATGTACGTACTTCATTAATGTCAACCTTTTTAAGGTAATTCTTGCTTCTCACATTATTTTGCTTGAAAACTTCGAAATTTAATTTATTTCGAAATACTTTTAAAACACGAACAGACTCGGGCTTTAAAGAAGAGTTTGAAATTTCAAACAAACTCTTTTTCGTACGATTAAATGTAAAAAGAGATGCGAAAGATTTAATACCACATCATCGATCATTACATCATTGATCATTCGTGACGCGAATCAAGAATTTTTAGATCAACTTGTAGATCTGGATTGGAAGCTCGATACAAAAAGTGCTGACCTAAGCGAGTAATTTTTTGAAGACGATTTTTTTATCGCGTTTTATTTACGCGTGATCATTAAAGATCATCACGTTGCACACGAGATTAATCGCGTGATTAATCATGCGCAATCGTCATCAAACTCACGCGTATGTCGCAAATTTGTTAATGTGTATATATTCGCGAACGACTAGAATTAGACCGCTGATATATTTCTTGAATCTTTACGATAAGAATTTTATTTTCTTGAAAGCAAAAGATCTCTGTCTCTTGTCCAATAGGCAAAAATGTTCCTTTTTTTGTCAACAAAAATGAGCTTTTTTGTTTGTGTGAAACGATACTAGGTTTCTGTGAAAATTTTCTTTTTGCTCAGTCAAATAAAATGTGTATTTCTTCAAGAAAAGAAATATGTAATTTCTTTGTTTTCTCTTTTAGAAAAAAGAGTATGTTTGAAAAAACGATATTTTTGAGTCTTCACAAAGAGACTTCCATTTTTTTGACAGTAAAGATATTTTTGTCTCTTTTCTAATAGATAAAAATATTTCTTTTTTTCCTAAAAAAATGAGTTTTCTTGTTTCTGTGAATTTTTTTTTCGCTGAATCAAACATTTGTATTTCTTCAAAAAAAGAAATATTTTATTTCTTCGCTTTCTCTCTCTTAGAAAAAGAAATCAATAAGACAAGAAACAAATTTTCGATTAGTAACAAAAATATTTTTTATTCATAGTCAAACGAAATTTGTTAAAGATAAGGAAATGTTCGTTTCTCTTCGCAATGAAAAGCTCTTAATAGACTCGATAACGTCGTAGTGTAAAGTTTACGAGCTCATTCGTTACGGTGGTGTATCTCAAAGCTGAAATGTTACGGTGTCGAAAGGTATCGCGATTCGTCCCGCTCGTAATAGAACGTGCGCGAACACAAGGCCTCTTTTTCTGCAGAAGTCATACAAGTTTCTGGAACTTGGTGGACTTCCCTAGACCCGCCTTTTTTGTCCAGATAACGAGCGAAACACTTGCAATAAAATATTTGCCACGGTTAAAGCTTCTTTTTATCTCCGAAAAAAAGATTTCATATGATAATGAGATCCATTTTTTTCAATAAAAGAATTACGGACGGAAGAATATAAATAAAACTAATAATCGAGATAATAATAGAATAGATATAGAATTATCTATAGTCTATATCAGTGTACTGTCTGTACACTGGAAAAAAACTGACAAATTTCAGACAAAATGTCTACAGGATTTTTGCAGACACATTGTCTGAATTTTCAGACACGCTCTTCTAAATTTTTGGAAAACGACTCTGATGACTGAGACAGATTAGCTGAAATTTTTTTTAGACACCCAGATCTGAAAATTTAGACAAAAATATGTATGAATTTTTAGAAAATTTTTTACGGTGTAGGACATTCTTAAAGAATTAATTATCATTTACATTCAATTCGAAAAATATTGTAAAAAATAATAATCCTTAAATATATCGCGAGTGAATTCTTCACACACAGGTTGGATATAAAAATTGCTTTAAATACGTAAATGCATTTTAATGCGGAGCTAAATTATTTGCAACAGTAGTGCGAAATTCATCGTAAACTGTCGTCTCTCGCGCGCCGAAACGCCAGTTATGGATATTTATATCAGGAGATAGTTGCTTCTATCTCGTCGTACTAATTTGGCGTTTCCGGAAAGACATCGCAGTCACGAGCAAATTATCGCATGTTGTCTTTCTCGGCGAGAACTTACGCGACAAAATAGAACAGAATAAGAATGACAAAAGAGGAAAGAAATGCATAAGATACCCGTGAAAACACCTTCTCTCTGTAATTAAAACGCATATGAAATATGTGTCGAATAAAATTCTACTATTTGCATAAAGCAGATTATTTGCACAGCAGTTGTAAGGGAGCCATAAATCGTTTTTATAGACGGTGGAATGATCGCGACGACTTGGAAGAATCCCTCGAGATCGATTAAGGATCATGCGCGTTAGATGCGCGAGCTAAAAGGATAATCCGGCATAGTCGAGAAAGATAATCGGAAGTAGAAAGCTGCGAATTCCTTGCGCAGGATGTCCGCGTTATTTCTGCTGACGGCCTGGATCGTTCTGGCGTGTCGATTCATCCAGGACGGGGTGGCGACGGGGCAACGTTATACCCCGAGCCCTTCCCAGGATCTGGACAACACTCTGCAATCAGTGCCACCCGTCGGGTGAGTATATTCGCAATACAAACGATCGCGTGAAACATTAATAGCTAATCTTCCGACTGACGTGATTCACAAAGTTGATATACAGAAATGGGATGAAGTTCAACATATACTTAAAGATCCGAGTCGAATCCAATAATCAAATTTCAGTTTTTAAGATTCGATTAATACTCATAAGAAATAATATTTCATATATTGTACTTGCGAAGTAATCGAATCTAAAATAGTTATATTCGACTTTTAGAATTAATACCTGCTAGATTCGAAATGTACTTATAAGTACTTTCTATCATAATGAATCGAATCTTTTATAAGTAGTACTTGAACTCTAAGATTTAACTTATTTATAAAATATTTGCTACATATACACACCTCCCATTCCATTTATGCCTACAACCAAACACACACGCGTACAAGTACTAATAAAAGATTCGAACATACTTCATCTAGGTTCGAACATGTTTTAAAAGCTTGAAAGTAATGCTCTTGTTTTTCGAGGTACTCATAAAGGATTCGAACCTCGTCCAGGTTCGAGTCTACTTGAAAGTACTGTTGTTTTCTGAAGTAATTATAGAGTTCGAAACCATGTAAATAAAATTCGAACTTACTTGTAAGATATTTAATCCCATCACTATTGATATATTATTTATAATATTTGCTCACACCTCCCATTCTACCCATGCCTACATCCAAACACACACACACACACACACACACACACACACACACACACACACACACACACACACACACAAACGTAAACACACACACACACACACACACACACACACACACACACACACACACACACACACACACACACACACACACACACACACACACACACACACACACACACACACACACACACACACACACACACACACACACACACACACACACACACACACACACACACACACACACACACACACACACACACACACACACACACACACACACACACACACACACACACACACACACACACACACACACACACACACACACACACACACACACACACACACACACACACACACACACACACACACACACACACACACACACACACACACACACACACACACACACACACACACACACACACACACACACACACACACACACACACACACACACACACACACACACACACACACACACACACACACACACACACACACACACACACACACACACACACACACACACACACACACACACACACACACACACACACACACACACACACACACACACACACACACACACACACACACACACACACACACACACACACACACACACACACACACACACACACACACACACACACACACACACACACACACACACACACACACACACACACACACACACACACACACACACACACACACACACACACACACACACACACACACACACACACACACACACACACACACACACACACACACACACACACACACACACACACACACACACACACACACACACACACACACACACACACACACACACACACACACACACACACACACACACACACACACACACACACACACACACACACACACACACACACACACACACACACACACACACACACACACACACACACACACACACACACACACACACACACACACACACACACACACACACACACACACACACACACACACACACACACACACACACACACACACACACACACACACACACACACACACACACACACACACACACACACACACACACACACACACACACACACACACAAGTACTAATAAAAAATTCAAATATACTTCATCCAGGTTCGAGTCTATTTGGAAGTAGTGCTCTTGTTTTTCGGGGTACTCATAAAAGGTTCGAACCTATCTCGTCCAGGTTTGAGTCTATTTGGAAGTAGTGCTCTTGTTTTTTTGAGGTACTCATAAAGGGTTTGAATCTATCTCGTCCAGGTTCAAGTCTACTTGAAAGTACTGTTGTTTTCTGAAGTAATCATAGAGAGTTCCATGCAAACAAAATTCAAACTTACTTGTAAGATACTTAATCCCATCGCTATTGATATTCTATTTATAATATTTGCACATACTTCCCATTTCACCTATATTTACAACCAAACACACACACATACACAAGTACTAATAAAGGGTTCGAATCTATTTTGTCCAGGTTTGAGTCTACTTGAAAAATTACTGTTGTTTTCTAAAATAATCATAGAAAGTTCGCAAACAAAATTCGAACTTATTTGTAAGATACTTAATCCTATTGCTATTGATATACCATTCTACGGAATGCTGACTTTAAATTTTCTTTATCGATAAAAAAATCTGATGATCGATGTCGCAAACACCAGAAAGTATAGAAAAATTGACGATATCAGAGAATATGTTAGTTTTACGTAATAAAAAATCATCCACGCATATTCACGTGTAAAGAGATGAAACGTCACGCGTCTCGCTGTCCTTGGAGAGCCACACAGCTGGTCACTTAAAAAGGTTAAATCGTCTCATCAAAAGCGCGAGATTCTCGTAATAGGCCGGCATCTCGCTAGCAACGCGGATCTTCTCGAGAATCCGATGATCCCGTCGCGCGTCCTCGGTGAAGTTAAACGGGCGCGATAACACCTAATTGGGTTATCGGAGTGTTACGTTATACGCCAGCGGCGCGTTGAATTCTCTATCCGACTAGCGCCTATTTTTCGCAATAAGAGTCAAGTTTCGCCGATAAAGCCCTCGCGCTCGCCTTCGCGAGCCTCCGTTTAAATGTTTTCGCGGTCGCGCGAATGGGATAATAAAACGGGATTAGTTGCACACGTTCATCCATTGTGGCCAATTGGCAACGGTATGCGTGCGGAATAGCGGAAATATTTCTCCAGTGTACCCGCTAATTTATCTATCCAATCTCGCGTCCGATGACGTCTCTATGTGTGTGGTCCGAATTCTGAACTAATCTTCACTTCTGGAAAAGCCCCGAGAGAGATGAGTTCCATTTAAGAGGGGGTCGGACTCTATTCAAATACAAATACCACGCGTGCGTGACCTAGTAAGAAGTTATTTCATGAAACGAGGAGATTGAGTACTTGCATATAATTATGCGAAATGTTACGATTCCAATCCGACGTGGGAATAAATCGGTAGATCTAGCTTCATGAAATAATCTCTCTCTCTCTCTCTCTCTTTCACGGTTTCGACATTAATTTCCATCACTAATATAATATGCCGCGACTCTAAATGGATGCTAATCGTCTTATTGAGGCTTGGATAGAAACTAATTCGCTTGCGCATCAAGCGTATTAAATAATATTATAATATTATTTTATCCGAATGACATTTCTTGTATTATTCGATTATAAAATTTTTGATCATGTACAAGTAATAATTGAAATATTCGGCAATATAATTCGTACTCCTTTTTATCGTAACGCAGACTTTAAAAATCGTAATCTCGCTAGTGATTCAGAATATGAATAAGTTTGTTTCATTATTTCTTTACGCACGTTGAGAGGAATTTGAATGATAAATGACAAAGTTCAACCATTGTAGGGCAACCGTTATCTGTAATTCGTTCGTTGATTACGTGCTTTACAATTCTTCGTATACAATTTGTTCAGCTTTTCATTTTTTTTTATCTCACATCTACCTTTACCGACCCCAAAATTTCACGATCTCACGTTTGTTGTCAAGTAGCCCATTTGGATTTTAAAATTAAAAGGTAACGCCAACGATAAGACAACGATATACATTAAATGTAGATTCCATCTAAAATTATATTCAATTGATGTTATGATATTAATGGCGCTTTCTTAAGAGTCGCCTGTTAAGTAACGCTACGAAAACAATGCTTTAATTGCTTCTGACAGGACGCCCGTTAATACATCTTCATTAACGATGAGCTCGCTTAACCCTTCCGGTCGCATATGTCTCCTTTGTCGGTACGTTTTAACCGCGTTTAAATTATAAAGACAAACGGACATGTTTTCCTTTCGTCGATACTCATATATTTCTCAAACTCGAACAACTTGTAACCTAGTTTAGATAATTTATAACTTATAAATAAATTAGAGTTTTTATGTAGCACGAATAATTTGTAATTTGCTATTTTTTCATTAAAAATAAAATTTTTTTAAATCAAATAACTACATTTTTTAATTTTGATTTTTTTGTTTATTTAGATAAATATATTTACTTATTTTAGATAAATTTATATACTTTGTATCCAAAAATGTTTTGTTATATCAAATAAATTATTAGTTACATGTAATAAAAATTATCATTTTTTAAATACATTATTTAAAATTTTAATATAAAGAATATTTATATTTGAAGATAAAAAATTATTAATTAAAATAAAGAAAACCTATATTTTTGAAACAAGCAGCCTATTAAAATATAATAAA